ATTGGTGGAAAATTCAGATTACATTCCCTTATACACTTAAATTATATAATAAACTGGTAGTCCCGAAAGTCTAGTTGTGAAAAATAGCCAGCATTCGTTTGCCATCACTACTAATGACGTTACTTACTTTATAATCAAGTGACCTTTGCGATCTCAGCCAAGAATTTCTCGTAGCTTCTATGCCTACTTATACCGAAAATAAGTAGCATCATTGCTTAGAGCGGGGAAATAGGTATATTTAATGGAGGATCCCAGTTTCCTGTGTTGACCTGCCGCCAGGACACTGACGAGCCAATCTAGAGGTAATCTTTTGCGAGTTCGATGCAGACGAAAGTCACCAACCTCCTGGGGCATAACAAACTCAAGAAGTGTGAAAGCGAACTAATCAGCTCTTAAATCACTTTAACTGACCCAGACAGACTAACTTTTTATTCAAGGACCGGCGAGTAGGTCAGTGGGCGGACTCGAAACGACTAACAAACGGGAAACCGAGCTTGACTATGACAAAAAGTGCATACAGCCTCAAACGGGCCTACTCGTGGACGTCCACAAGTAGGCATGTGTTGAGCTCTTTCAAATGGACACGTTGGTGGGCTAATTGAATGAATGACAACACACTTGCTGATGCACTGACGCAAGGAGACAGTCTGGAAGAGAGCAACCATTGGACCCGTTTCGCCAAGTCGGCTGCTTTCTTATGACAAGTGTCGGCTTGCCGTTCGCCTCAGCAACCGGACGAACCGGTTGTCTGGTTGCCGTGCCTAACCCGCCTCAACCCGCCTCCTCGGACAACTGTCTTTTGCCGACCTCACACGCACCATTTACCGGCCCCACTGCCTCCTCTTTCTTCTGCCATCGCCATCCTCTTTCCCTCTTCCGTGCTCTCTCTCTTCACCTCGCCACCTCTGCCTCTTGCATAAACCCTCCAATGCACACGACGACACAATACACCACAGAACAGGACTGTACAGTACAGTACAGTACAGGACAGGACAGGACAGGACAGGACGGCAGACTCCACGAGCGCAGCACAGGCCGGCTGAGTCTACAGGCTTGGCGGGCACAAGCTCAGGCCGGAAAAGATGAGGCGACCAGTCGAGGCTAGTTACACAACTCAGTGCCATCTGCCTGGCAGAAAGAGCAGACGCACAGACGCACAGGTAGGCAGGCCGGCGGTCGGACTGACGCGGACCGACTGCCCTCTGAGGAGCGGGATAAAGTGAAATTCATTGCAAAAATCAAGTCTTCTCTGCAATTCATCCCGGCCAGACTCGCTTGGCGTCCAATGAGCGACCAGTCGAAACTGGTATGCCTCGACGACGATCACCAGCCGCCTGGTAACCTCGAAAAAAACACGGTTGATATGTGAGTATGTATGTCTGTATGATTGTATGTATGTGTGTGTGTGTGTTTGTGTGTGTGTGTGTGTGTGTGTGTGTGTGTGTGAACGAGAAATAGAGAACAAAGACGTG